TGCCTAGCCAGCCAGATCAGCAGAATCAACCCTGGCGATCAATGGGGTGACAGATGTCGCAGCCAGATCGCCCTCACATCCAGGATATCTGATTTTGAAACTGGCCTTTTAGCTCGGCAGATGTGGCTCAGTGGTTTGGCCTATGAACCAGGAGGTTACAGTTCAATTCCCCGTCAGGGCACATGCCCGGGTTGCAAGCTCCATCCCCACTTGGGGGCGTGCAGAAGGCGGCTGATCAGTGACTCCCTCTCATCATTGATGTTTCTATCTCTCTCTCCCTCACTAAAATCAAAATAAATAAATAAATAAATAAATAAATAAATAAAATTGTCTTTACAGGAGAAATCAAGAAGGAGGCCAGGAAACCTTTCTTACAAGCAAGAGCCTCCTCCCTTAGCTCCCAAACTCAGTGTGTCTCCATCACCTGGCCGGAGCCAGGAGGACCAGTCTCAGCAGACACTGGATGCTCAGTCACCATCGCTCTCAGTAGGGAGCCTGGGGCTCCCATGTGCCTGAACTCGGCTCTCCATAGGGCCCTGTGGAGGAGGGGGCATTCCTTATCCTTGTCTCCCACATTAATTTTCCCTGAAGCACTTATCACCATCTGATAATGCGGCTTATATTCCATGACCTTGAAAAAAGATCAGAGTTGGAGGGGAGGACCAACAGTTCCCAATCTCAAAACTTACTGAAAAGCTGCTGTAATAAAAAGTGTGTTGCTTGCCTAAAGGATAGTCATATAAATTAATGCAACAGAATTGAGAAGCCAGAAACAAACCCGTACATTTGTGGGTAATTTTGCATCAGGAAGAATCATTAGGACTTTTCGGCTTTGGCATAAAGAGAAAGGCTATGTTGATGTAAAAGTGCTCTAGGGCACATATCTACCTGGGTTGCACAGGCAGGAGGCAACTAATTGATGTGACTCTCTCATGTTGATGTCCTCCCCACCCTGCTTCCACTCTCTCTAGAAATCAATGGAAAAAATATCTTCAGGTGAGGATTAAAAACATCAATAAAGCCCGGCCGGAGTGGCTCAGTAGTTGAGCATTGGCCTATGAACCAGGAGGTTACAGTTCAATTCCCCGTCAGGGCACATGCCCGGGTTGCAAGCTCCATCCCCACTTGGGGGCGTGCAGAAGGCGGCTGATCAGTGACTCCCTCTCATCATTGATGTTTCTATCTCTCTCTCCCTCACTAAAATCTACAAATACACAATACAAATAAATAAATAAATAAATAAATAAATAAAATTGTCTTTACAGGAGAAATCAAGAAGGAGGCCAGGAAACCTTTCTTACAAGCAAGAGCCTCCTCCCTTAGCTCCCAAACTCAGTGTGTCTCCATCACCTGGCCGGAGCCAGGAGGACCAGTCTCAGCAGACACTGGATGCTCAGTCACCATCGCTCTCAGTAGGGAGCCTGGGGCTCCCATGTGCCTGAACTCGGCTCTCCATAGGGCCCTGTGGAGGAGGGGGCATTCCTTATCCTTGTCTCCCACATTAATTTTCCCTGAAGCACTTATCACCATCTGATAATGCGGCTTATATTCCAGTCATTTCTACGTCGATTTATTAAACTCCTCTTTCTAAAATCAAAGTACCTACTAAAAATATAAGCTCCACACCGGGAAATCCTGTCGATTTCGCTCAATGCTGTCTCCCCAGAACCTTAGGCACGTTCCTAACACACATTGCCTGCTCCTTTTCCTGCCCTCCCTCCCCTAGAACTGAACTGGGGAACACTGACTACCACTACGCATGCGCTGACCTACCGCGCTCCGCCCCCCACCTCAGCACAGAGAGATCGAAAACAACCACAAAAACCTGTCCGAGTTATAAAAAACCATATTAATCTAGAATTACTGTGCTGTATTATTATAGAAATAAGTCAGGTTAGGCACAAAATACTGAACTCCGAATTTGACCTTTCTTTGAATAAGTCCCCTTATCTCACCTCTTGGGACAGTGTGTTTTGTGCACTAATTATGTTTGTTTAATCCGGACATTTTAGCCAAGTGGGAAGAGCATTGCTCAGCTGATCCGTGGCTTTTCTGCTGAACTGCCCTGTGAACTGGCCACGCTCTGTTTACACGAATATAAAATGAGCGTAATACAAAGGTCCGTTCTGTTAATTTCAACGTCTCATATTAGATTCTGAAAGAATTATGAATTCTAAACCCTAACATGCTAAGTACAATTTATTATTCTTAGATTCTGCCTTTCATTATCTTCTTTGGTGTTTAAATCAAATAAATATCAATTGTGTGTGTAAAGAGAGATTGCTTAAACTGCCTTGAAACAGAGAATACATTATTTAGAAAAGTTTCCTTACTCTTTTTAGAAATGAGGAAAACCTGAGATACCCAAAGTCATCTAGGGGGTCACAAAGTGAACAACATAACCACAAAATTACAGACCAGTTTCACTTGTAGATAGAGATGCTACAATGTGTTGAAGAAATAATGCCATAGGACAAAGTAGTTTTTATCCCCAAAATGATCTTATAGGCACAAGGACAATTTAGTTGACTTTACTAACAGTTTCACCCACATAAATCCAGGGAGGCAAATGTCCTAGCTGTGTATGCAACCTTACTTACATTAGCACACGTAACTGTAATAGTAATTAAAAGTGCCTTTGAATGCACAAAACGTATACTAGTAGAAATACATTCTAAATGTATAATAAAACTTCCAGAAACTTATTTTTAAACTTTTCTATGACATATTTATAACACCACCCCTCCTTTTATTGCCTCAAAAATGTTTTACCTCCACACCATCTTCTGCCAAACCAGGCTCATAGGCTATACTTTTATTTCTTACTTTACATCTTTCAATTGCTCTCTTTTATTTCTTCATTCAAACATGAAAGGCCCCTTTAGATTCTTAGATTCTCCTAATCTTAGCACAATCTTTACAAAAGGCTAAGGGGCTGATGAGGCAACACAGACTCACAGAAGGAAGAAGAGTGTGATGACAGGGGAAGACGGAAACTTCAAAATTGTCCTTAATGGTTGAGCAGAAGTCAAAGAAGCTAATTTTTTGAGTTGTATGTTTTACTCAGCAATATATTGACTAATAAGAACTTTATGGTTATTTTGATAAATTCCACAAAAGCATTTAAAACAATTATAAACCTTTTCTAATAATTATTTCTTAGTTGTTATTGGAGAAAACACCTTAATCTCAGATTATTATTATTATCCTATATAATAAAAGGCTAATATGCAAATTGTCCCCTCAACTGGGATTTCAACTGGGAGTTCGACCAGGGGGCAGAGCTGGCCCGCCAATCCCCTGTGGCCCCTCCCCCTGGCTGGACCCCACCCATGCACAAATTTGTGCACCGGGCCTCTAGTCATATAAAATATAGTTGACTGACTGGTTCTCAACTCCTATTAATTTGATTTGAATAATTTCACTTTATAACTATGGATTTTTTTTTATTGTTGACACTGTTATAGATGTTCCTCACTTACCCCACTTTGCTCACCTCTACCCAGCCCCCACCTTCCTCTGGCCATCACCTCACTGTTGTCTATGTCCATGGGTTATGCATTTATGTTCCTTGGCTAATCACTTCACCTTCTTTCATCCAGCCCTCCCCTCTGAGAACTGGTTGGTTACTCTCTAATAAACAAATAAAAGTGTGTCTCCAGTCTAGACTTCCTGAATCCGAATCTCTGACATTTGGGGCCTGAGCATCTTTGACTGTCAAATGGCTTCTCTGATGCCACACTTGCCATCTAATACCTGAAGGAAGACAGGTAACTAACTACCTGTTAATTTCAGCATGAGGTGGACTTGACCAGGACTCTGGAAAGCTATGAGAAGTGCTATGGAAACACAGAGCTGGGATACATGGATTCTGACGGAGAAGCCTCCAAAAGGGGTAGAAGATGGTAAAGTCTATGAGGGATGAACAGAAAATAACAAGGACTACTTAATAAGGAGCACTTATGGAGCACCTCACTGATGAGAAGAACAAAGAGTTTCACTTGAATTCTCTCCTACAGGATAAGTCTGCAGATACTGGAACGCAGACTTCTTGCCGTTTGCTAAAGAAAACATTCCAGTTTTTGGTGCTGAGAAATGTTTAAACATTAAGCTTGACAAGGCCTGATAAGTGAAAAACATGCCATTATAGACACTTTTTTAAATCAGAATTCCAATGAGAATTTATATTCAAAACCAACAAATCAATATTCTGAAACCTCCAGAATTCTAACGAAGACACGTACTGAAGCAACTTCATGTCACCTCGGTTGTGTTTCTTTGGTACTAACCTCCGAAGTACGAGCCGTCGGTCAGCTTCATTTCTTTACTGGACTTTGTGATGACTCCAGCAACGCCATGCTGAATGAAGTACATTTTTTTACCCACAGCTCCTTCTCGTATGATATAATCTCCAGGTTGAAACACCTCGAATCTCAACTTGCTCAGCATGGCAGTCACAAAATTGGGGTCAGCGTTAGCAAACAGAGGCATCGTGGCCACGAGTTTCCGACAGTTGAAGTTAACTATCTCCTATAGATGGAAAGAGTAAACCAACATTAGGAGTGATATTATTCATAGCAAGAAGAAAGCATATACGAAAATTATATATATCATATAACATCATAATTCAAATTCAGAACCAAAACCTACATAAATTCTAATAATCTACATGTCTCTGCAATGTCAGGGCTCATTTTATCTCCGTGTTGGAAATTTATATTCACAGTTCCCAGTGTGGTACAGGCATATATTACACATTCAGTACATGCTAATTAAATATATACAAGCCTCAACTTTTACCACTTCGCATTTATTATTCTTTATGTAAAATGAGAACTTCTAAAATGTGGGAGAATTTTAGTCTCTCTTATCTTTTCTATGAAGAAAGGAGGCCACATCATTGCCTGTTAGCTACATCACAACGGCTTCTGTGCTCCACTGTGTTGAAGAATCTAACTTACACCTACCAATAGGAATTCTGAAACGGGGCCCCCTGCCAGACAACAGCTTTTCAATGTTTTTCCCTTAACATCATTCATGTCAGAGTGAGAACTATGGAGAGTGCAGAGATGGGTTTCATAAAGGAGTTTCTAATTCTTTTTTTCCCCTTTTTCTTTATTTTATTTTATTTTTTTATTGTTTAAAGTAATACAAAGGGTATTACATATGTGTCCAGGAGTTTCTAATTCTAATCTCTACTTGTACATTTCTAGGCTAGGTCAGAAAACGCCCCTTCAAAGCCTGTCCTGTTTCCATTGGAAATCTTGGACTGGAGAGAGGTCGGAGTCCAGTTTTCCAGACTTGTTTTATTTCTGGACAGGAATTCTAAGTTAGAACAACTACATGTTTAATTTCATTCTGTGGATTCTGGTCTAGATATGACATCTCTCTGAACCAAACAGGGACCGACCAGCTTTAATCTTGCAAGTCAGATATGTAACGGAATAAACAATGGGCATCTAAAATTTACCATAATGCCATTTCTCAGAAGTGTCTTCTCCACTGAGTTCTCAAAAGAAAAGGGTAGGGCCTGAACTTTTTATCTTGCTTAAGACATGTAATAACTTAAGTAACCTCAGTGAAGAAGTGGGAAGAGGGCAAAAAGAAATGGAGATCTGAATTCCCTGCCTTGGGGAAGTAACTTATACAAAACTGAATTCCAAGAGTAGAAAAGGTGGTTTCTCTAGTCTTGCTTCATGAAATGAACTGCTATTTTCCCAGGATAGGTTAAAAGAATTCCAGCTGATACAGCGGGCACAAAAATTAGGGTCCACCATGGAAGAGAAGGTCATGCATCCTCAACAAGATCTCATGAGTTTAGCAGAGTAGAGAGGTGTCTCTAATAGTGGAGCTTCATGGAGAGTTGTAAGTATTTAAAATTCAGCAGCAAGAAGCAGAAAATGAACATGGCACAACAAACAAAAGAAAGATGTCACATGTGGCACTTGATTTGTGTGGCATCATCCAAGACCTCATAATGACAGTTGACTGCATTGGGGGCTGCATCCCAGGGCAATTTTTGGACAGTTTTAACTGTTGCTAAAGAGCTATGGTGGGTGTTGGGGTTACAGTAAGATTCAGCACATATGCTCAATAAACATGTATGCATGGATGGATGGATGGAAGGAAAGAAGGTGAAAAGAATGGATAGAAGAAAGGAAGATGAAAAGGAAAGTAGGAAGCTGGCATTTCATCAGTACAGAAAAGTACTCACAAAGCTCAGTTTTATTCCCCTTGGGAACAGTTGCCCAAAACTTTAACAATGCTTTCTCAAGCAACCAACTTGAGAAACAAGTGTTATGTGTATAAAAAATGTGCTTTTTAGTATTAGAATACCTCTATACAAAAACCACATGAAGATAAATGGTAAAACGGAATGAAAAGAAACAAAGGTATGTCATTAAAATGACTGGATTGATTGCTTAAAAGGTACTTATTTCATATGAAAATTACACAGAAGAATGCTGTTGGGGAAAGGGAAAATAAGTCAGATTGCAAAGAAAATAAGGGTTTCAAACAAAAATAATAAAGAGACTCCTTACACCTATGTTCTTTCATTTCAACTCTACAAATGTTTCTCTTAATTGTTCTCTCACTTTTCATTTTAGAAAAATATTTGAAAGTTTATTTTACAAACAATTACACTGGTGTTTATCTATCTGAATAAGTCCTCTTTGATGCATTGCACATTCAGGGACACCTGCTGGCAGTGCCTGGGGTATGATACTGCTAGATAATTTCATATTATCACTATTGCTGGAAGGAATCCATATTCTCTCTCTCTCTCTCTCTCTCTCTCTCTCTCTCTCTCTCTCTCTCATTTCCATGTAAACACTATCTGATTCAAACTGTGAATTCTAACAAATATTTGATATGAAAAAATAAGAGGCGAAAAATTTGTTTGCATTTCTCTCCTTTTCATATTTTAGGTTGCATTTCATTGATGACTAAGCCATAATCTATCCACTTACTCCTCATGACCTGTGGGTCATTTCCAGTTTTAGGCTAATACAATAAACCTGTTATGAACATTATTTTTTGAAATATATTTTTATTGATTTCAGAGATAAGGGGAGAAGGAGAGAGACAGAGAAACATCAATGATGAGAGAGAATCATTGATAAGCTGCCTCCTGCATGCCTTCTACCAGGGATCAGGCATGTGCCTTGATCACCATTATCTCCTGGTTCATAGGTCCATGCTCAACCACTGAGACACACTGGCCAGGCTGTTATGAGCATTCTTGAAGTAGCTTATGGGCTGCTTTCTCTTGAATAGTTACTTCATATTGTAATGGCTAAGTAATCAGATAAGCATGTATTTACTTTAGTAGACACTGCCAACAGTTTTCCAAAATGATTGTTTTCCTCATATAGCAGCAACATATCAAGTTCCAGTATTCCTGCATCTTTGACAGAATTTGATGTTATCATAATTTTTGCCACTAGTAGGCATGAAGAAATACTATTTTTCCCTTTTTCTCATTGTGGTTTAATCTTACATTTATATAACAATGATTAGCATTGTTATGCTCATTATAGGTCAGATGAGCATCCATTCAGTGAAGTGCCCAGTCAAGAGTTTCCCCTGATTTTTCCATCTTAACAGTTCTTTTAGCATCCTGACTAGTTCTTTGTCTGGATATGCATTGCAGATATCTTCTCCCTGTCTGTGGTTAGCCTTTTCATTCACAATGGAATGCTTTACTGTTATTGTCTTATCTGCAATTTGTTTAACTCTATGTCAATCAGGAAAAATGGGATTTGATGTATTTAGATGGCTTCAGGGAGCATCTCTATTAGCAAAGAATCTGTGCTTTGGAACCACGCAGACTGAGACAAGGAGAAAGTTTCAGCAATACTGTTTGGTTACAATTAAAATGAATAGCAATATTTTAAGGCTCCCTTTCCACTACAATTCCTTTTTGATAACTTAAATATCATTGTAGAAAGTTCCATTGCGTGAAACATTTAGTTTTCCTCCATTCTGCATTAATTTATTCTGCACAGTATAGTTCTAAAAAAGTTTAAAGCAGGATAGCTACAAATGTAATTACCATCATGACAATAATGAATCACTGAGTAATCTTAAAGAAACAGAGCTGCAGTGACATTGCTAAACCCCTGCACCCAACACGCCCTGCATTTTACATGGTGCGGGCACAGGAGAGCTTTCTTCTAAGAACTTATATCAGATGGACAGTCAAATGGCATCCAAGCATTAGAAACAGTAAGTCCATTTGGTCAAATCTATATCAACTGATACTTCGTCACCTCGAACATCCTAGCAATGAATTGTTGCTGATGTTGCCCTATTTTCTCCCCAATTTAATGATCTGGACTAGTTATAATCAAAACAGAGTAATTAGATACCTCAGGGTTTTTCCTTTAAAGCAGGGATCATTTGAAGAATGAACAAACTAAAAATAAGAGACAAAGTGAGTTTTTGCTGGGTTTAAATACTGACAAGTATTAATTTATTTTACCCTCATAAAAACCCTATGCCGTAGTTATTATTACTACCTCATATTGAAGAAGATACTGAATCATCTGCCCTAAATCACGCATTCACATTTTGAGGGTATGACATGGATATGTGTTGACTGAAATGACAAACTCATGGCTGTACACTTTATTATTATTATTTTTAGTCTGTTTTTATTCCCCCTACCACAAATATTTTAAAAACATCTAAACAAGAATATCTTCATGTGTCACATGCATGCTCCAGTTTGCCACAGTTTTTAAAACACTGTATTGAATATCTTTTTACTTCTTAAAATTAGGCGATCTGACTGGCTTCTGAATTCAACAGGATTTGAGACCTTTGCATGTAAAGCAATGGAGTGCAAGAAGAGAGGGTGGGACTAGCATCTATTGTTTTTGAGGCCAGGGTCAGCGTGCCCTTCACTTCTCCCTTTCTAAGAAATACTTCTGGCCACTCATCCCTGGTTCTCCTTACACAGCCCCCAAAGGAACATACTTTAATTTCTTCACATGAAAAGGAAGTGCGACGAGAGAGGAAGGGAACACGATTTATTAAGCATCCATGTTAAGCAGGTATATGTTATATCTAATTTGTTCCTGGGAGAAAACAACCAAAGAATAAAGCTGAATTTGTTTTATTTCCCCACATATACAAAAGAAAGAAGATAATGGAGCATAGAGAGGGAAGAAATCCATTGCCCAGACCATGATGCTAGAGTATGTCTACAGAGACTATTTTATCTGACTCCCACACCATTGAGCATCCAACCCCACCTGGGGCCTCCCTCCTACCTGAATCAAACCCATAGGAACTTAGCACCCACATCCTTATATTTCTGTCATTGTCTATGCTTTAGAATAAAACATAGTCACTTTTAGTATAACTCTTTTCATCTAAAACTTTACCCATGTCAGAGCAACATCTGTTGCTTTAATCAATTTGAATGGCACTTTTTATGCAATGTACATATTTTCAGGGCAGATTATTAAATGGCAACACATTTACTGTTGTGCAATACATGGGTATAGATTGAAAAGTAAACA